AACACATGAAATTAGAATAAAAAAAGCAACTTTAGCACATTTGTGTCCATCCTTATTGCATGGCAGTTTATTCAAGATAAGCTATTATTACTGTTATCCAAAAACCTATAGTTTTGAATCTATGTCTAATGCAATATACTTATATGACTGTATATTCACGCAGCATTACAATGGGTTCCAGCGAGGCACTTGAACAACCACTTCACAAAACTGAAAGAAGAATTTGTACCCTCAGAACTTCCATCTGAATCAAGGTTATGTCAGCAATATCAAATGCACGAGCTCTAAACCAACTGACCTCTGAAGGAGGCGCTCATGCGTTTCGCTTATAACGTGCATAAAAGGGGCAGTTCGAGTAAGGGACAGAGCAGTGTGGAATAAAGGCAAATTATGTGAAAAATTAAAAAACGAAGCGTTAACACATGTTAGACTGCACCCCATAAACACAATCAAGCCTAGAAAAAACCCAGTGAACCACCCCTTTAAGTTGAATTAACAAATTCAGAGACTGCAAGTTGTCAACTTTAAACTACGGCGTAGGTCCGACGCAGAAGTATAAATCAGCCTTTACTCTTGAATTAAAAACACGGGGTGTCTATTTACATTTAGTTAAAAGTGACTATAAGTCATCAGCTCCAGTGGAGCAGATGGATAAGCGCTTGCCCTTGGCTCTTTGACGCGATCGACCCCGGTTCGATCCTGCCTTTTGCCAAACTTTGTTTTCCTCCCTTTTCAAATCTCCTATTAGCAATGGATTCTATTTACACCAAGTGAAAATAGCAGTATTTTTAGCAATATGCTATTTACACTAAGTGCAAATACCTATTTACACTATGTTAAAATAGCAGGATTTCTACTATCAAGTATACTACTTGTTGCAAATAGTGGCAATTATCTGCACTTCAGTATTGTAGTACATTATAAAACAGTATGCAATAATAATGTATTGAGTGTAAATTAAAATAATATTTTTAATTATTAAATGGATGCCACCTTATTGGTACAATAAAGCCCTCCCTACACCTACCCTAACCCTACCCGATACTTTATTTTAAACTTTTTGATTATTTCCTTAATTTTTATTGAAAATAAATGCCTTTACGATGTGATACAAGATTTGAAAAGGGAGGAAAACAAAGTTCGGCAAAAGACAGGATCGAAGCCGGGTCGATCGCAGCAAACAACCAATGACACACGCTTATCTATCTGCACCATTGGAGCTGATGAGTTGCATCCACTTTTAACTAAATGTAAATAGACCCCGTATTTTTAATTCCATAGTAAGGGCAATTCATACAATACATTTAAACTGAGCTACTTTAATACCATCTCCGAACTTTCTACCAGGACTCTGCTGTTCTTCGGCTGGTTCTTCCTGTATATGTTGATTGACAGATGTCTCGTCCAGTCAGCGGTGAGTAATCCCAAACCAATGGCGCTGTCTCAAACTATACCTACCTCTTCCGGTTTGTCTGATTTGTCGTTGTGTTTTCTGACTTGTTATTTTGTTTTCGGATTTGTCATTGTGTTTTCTGACTTGTTATAATGTTTTCTGAATTGTTATTTTGTTTTTTAGACTTGCATTTGCGTTTGTAATTTGTTATTTTGTTTTCAGAATTGTGATCTGCTTTGCACTTCTCGTTCACCGTACATTATAGACTTTAAAAATGCATACATTTACAAAACTTAGAATTTTATCTTCCTAGAGAAAACTTTTAAGAGACAACAAAAAGCCATCACTTCATAGAATATGTAGGCTATATGTTCATGCGAGTGGCCATCTCTTCATACTTGCAGTTAGAAAACATTAAGGCCTTTTCATTACCTTCAAGCATGGTGATGACACTATTTAAAGTCAGTTTTTGTCTAAAAGAACTTGAAAACCTGTTGCCTTTAATAAAACAGATGGCGCTAAATGGGAAAGTGTACTTGAAACAACGTGCTATAACTACCATTAGATTTAATTAAAATCTAAACAGACGCAAGGATTACTGTATACACCCATTATACCTCAAAATAATATTTTTTTCCTTCTTTGCTATAATCATTCTTTGATAGATTTTGTGATTATATGTTATCATAGAGACAGGAATAAAATACATTGTACATCAATAACAACTCAACAGCCGGTACATGCTTGTGAGCAATACCAGAATGACCACCAATGAGATGATACTATGATATTGAGCAATCTGTTTTTATTCATTTTTAATTCATCCAGATTTCAGATTTGACATCTGTTCCAATTTCATAAAAGAGCAATATGTACATAAATTATTAACTTTTCTTGTTTGGTATTAAAATGATCAATACAATAATGTCAATCACTGTAGATATGAACAGGGAACAATAGATCATTAATTATGTATCACTGTTTAATAAAACACGTAATATCAATAATATGTTGATATCAAACAGGCCACTTTAGATATGATCAGGAAACCAGTGGGTCAATGAACCTTACTATGGTGTAAGAGTGTAATGTTACAGATCAGATCATCTCTGATGGCGCCCATGATTTTTAAATACTCACACTATATCTTCCAGTGTCAAGAGTAATGACTTTAGCTCTGTTGTTTTATTCAAAATCAGGGACAAGAAAAAGACAAGTGGAAAAAACTAGATTTTTTTTTTAAAGTCACATGGTGGACATTCTCATGGATGATTTCATCATCTTCAGGACCACAAATGAATGTGGTCAGGATAAACCTGAGTCTTGCACCATCCTTTATCACAAAAGCAGCACTAGCGATGATATCTAAATATATTTATGAAAATGTTACATTTGTTACATTATTTTGCAGATCACATTGGTTTCCAAAGACATTTCAAGATGAACTATTAAATTTATTGAGGCCACAACTCCTCAAAAGATTACATATTTGCAAATGCAGACACTCAACAGATGGTGGAGACAGTAACAAAAGTGACTAAACAACATGTGAGACAGAGAAGCCCTTATATATGTGTGCAACATTGAGCTGCTTTATTCACACTTTTTTTTTAAATGGGAGCCATATGGACTATTAAGTGTTCAAATATTCACTGGTTTGCACTACCTGCCATGTGCCGTGTGCTGCTTTATATATATATCTTTTATATATTTTTTTACATTTTACCTTATTTGTATATTTGTATAGTTGTATTTTATACTTAATCTGTATATCTGTATTTATGTTCTACTGTTAGTGTTATCTGTATGCACCAAGGGTCTGAGAGTAACGCAATTTCAATTTTCTGTGTGTATGTGCTGTACATGTGGAAGAATTGACAATAAAGCAGACTTGACTTGACTTGACAAATTTGCAGAAATGCAAATTTGATAAACACCTGACCTCCTGTCTTAAAGTTCAGCTCTAAATTGGAGTAAGCTCAGTTTTAAATATGTCCGTTCATGGCAAATGTAAACAAAACATAACCATAATTAATTTGCTTATTCTTCTCAGTCACAATTAAACAAAGATACTCTTTTATTAGATATTTCCTTAATATTTGCTTCACAGCTGTTGATTTTGATTTCAAAGGCAGAGAAATGTCTTTATCCCAGATCCAAGGTCTTATGTATTTCATATTAACAGATTAATGATGCATGTGATGCAAGATCATTTCAGTACCTGACAGATTTATTACCCCCCTTTTTTTTCTTCTTCACTGGTGTCTATATCACCACTAGTTAGGCAGATTGATTCCTGTGATTCCAGATTTCATTTCCTACTATATGGACAAGACTAAATATTTGAAGCCTCACTTTGAAAAGTTCATTTTGTAATTCCACAGTAAGTGTCCACAATACAACTAAACAGCCTCGCATGAGCACTGAGTGTAAACAGCAAAAAATAAATAAAACTGGCAATTCAAAAATGCTGTACTTGTATGCAGCACGCGATTTTTCATGTGAAGTACATAGTGTGAGGTCTCCCTCTTGTGGCTGCTGTGTTAAATTAAAACAGAACTACTGATCTACAAGTGTGCTCACTCATGGATTTCTCTCAGTTCATTGCTGCGATTCTGTGGCACAACAAGGTATCAGATTAGCTGGATTTATTTTTTATGAGCTTCAACGTGATTTCAAAGCAGCTAAAACACCCAAAAACCTGGAAGTCATGTCAGTGTGCTATGTTATCCATCCAGAGGCCCACAGTTCTAATAAAAAGCAGCCAGTGGTGCAACAAACTTGAATCCCAGAGTAGATTCATGATTCAAAGTAGAAAAAAAAGGGCTAGGTTAAACCACTCACTCACATCTTCAAATAAGTACAGCGACATGCATTCAGAAACTTCTAAATTTCAAGAGAGAGAAAGAACAGGGTAGTCAAGCAGTTTCATACGAAAGCGTGAGCATAACAACAGTGATTCTGTTCTATGAGCAGGTGGCCGGTGGCCATGATCATCTTTGGATTGCGTGCTGCTGGTACAGTGTGATGGGTGGTAGCTGAGGATGAGGATGAGGGGGGGGGGGGG